GTTCGTCGTCATAACGGGCATGACTGTGTAGCTGTGAGTCAATTCTGACGATGTTTTCTACAGAGGTGATGATTGAGATGTAGGAGACGAGCTACCACTGCTAGGGGTTCCTTTTGGGGGAGTCATACTCCCGCTGCTGGGAGTTCCTTTTGGGGTAGTGGGGCCCATATGACTCTTGTCGCCAACAGTTTCCCTCGTCGAAGATGAACCCTTGTCATATGCGGCTTTCCATGACTTCGTGGAGTTGCTTTCAATCCTTCGGACGATGTTACGAACCATGTTCTGGGTCTCGTTCAGTTGCACCCCTAGGTTCCTCACTCGGCTCCGAGTCATTGCTCCTTCCACATTTTGGCTATCACCGGAACCGGCCACGGATGATGCCTTGGAGCGGGTAGCTTGAGCATAGGTCATCTTGGAGGAGGGATTTCTTGATGCCATTTGGATTCCTTCCTTGTAGAGCTCGTGAATCAATAGTGAAGAGATGAGGGGCAGAGTAATCCCATTGGGCGTGCCAAAATCTGTAAACACAAAAAAGTAAACGTTGTATATATATTCACAAAATCTGTTTACAGCGTGTGTATAATTCAATGCAGGTACAAAATCTCTGTCTAGTCCTCTGATTCTTCACTGACGTTATCTATGGAAGTGCCTCCGGGATTCAAATAGCGTAGCCTCCGGGATTTAAGTGGCGCGTGCCTCCGGGATTCAAGTGGCGTAGCTTCCGGGATTTAAGTGGCGTAACTTCCAACAACGAGCGTCAAGAATTTAGAAGTAATCAACCCTGCAAAGTTTCAAAACACATGCAATGGATTCAAGCTGCTTTAAGATCCTCAAATGTCTTCAAAAGACTTCAAGATCTTCGAGACAATCAATTCTGCAAAGCTCCAAAGTACCTGCAATGTATTCAAATTGCCTGCAAAATCAACAAAAATTCCTTCAAATCTTCAAGCGTTCTTCAGTTCCTTTAAGCTCTCAAGCCTTCAAGTTGTCAAGCGTTCTTCAATGCCTTCAAAGCCTTCACGTCTTTAACTTCTCAAGTCTTCAATTGTTGTCTTTTGGAATGAAAATGAAGGCCCTATTTATACTAAAAGCTTAACCAAAATTCCTCAACCAACCCCCCTTTTTAGTTAACTAATTAATTAATTAATTAATTAGGAAAATGAACCTTGTCCAAGATCAAGTCCAGGTTCATTATTGTATAATCTAATTCAAATTTAAATTAAATTATAATTATCTAATTCAAATATAATAAAATTAATATTATATTTAAATTATTTAAATTATAATTATAATTTAAATTCAAACATAAAACGGGCTTGGGCCAACTAATTAATTAATTCAATGGCCCAAATCAAACTTAATTGGGCTAATTAAATTAATTTCCATGATCCAATTAATCAAATTGGCCCAATCATCATTCTCAACGTTAGCCCAATTACACTTTAATCGGTCCATTTATTGGGTTCAAATTTTCGGTGTCTACAATGAGATTGATGCATGATAGATATATCTATGTATTATCTATATCGGTGAGGTTTTGGAGGATCCCGTTTGGACTATGTCCTCTCGGATGATTTTATGGATATTGGGGTCCCAGTATATGTAACGCGGTGTATTCCCACGTTACGAGGTTGGAAACTGCCCGCCAGGCTTGGAATCCTGGTTAGGGGGTGTGCACACTTAAAGTTCGATACCTGATTCCACAGCGCGAGAACCATGAGATTGGTTCCGTAGACGGTAGGAGATATCGGGTCGGACTTACGCCGTTCCCGATGGGACAATTCACGCTACGGTGAAACCCTGAGCCGTTTACGAGCGAAAAGAAAAAAAAACGAGTCAAGAGAGACTCAAGAGAAAGAAAACAAGTCAAGAGAGACTCAAGAGAAAGAAAGCGAGTCAAGAGATACTCAAGAGAAAGAAAGGGAGTCATGAGAGACTCAAGAGAAAGAAAGCGAGTCAAGAGAGACTCGAAAGTAAGAAAGAAAGAAAGAAAGAGACCTCCACAGAAAGTACTATATTTTTACAACGAGTGTACATGAGTATATATTTATAGTATTGCACGAGATTGCATATGAGTATGATTATAGTATTGCACGAGATTGCATATGAGTATGATTATAGTATTGCATGCGATTGCATATGAGTATGATTATAGTATCGCACGAGATTGCATATGAGTATGATTATAGTATTGCACGGGATTGCATATGAATATGATTATAGTATTGCACGAGATTGCATATGAGTATGATTATAGTATCGCACGAGATTGCATATGAATATAGAACTGCACAAGATTGCATACGAGTATGATTATAGTATTGCATGAGATTGCATATGAGTATGATTATAGTATTGCACGAGATTGCATATGAATATGATGTATATCATTGCACGAGATTGCATATGAATATGATGAATAGTGTTGCACAAGATTGCATTTGAGGAGAATATCGCATGAGATTACATAATGAGAATGTTGATTTAAGGTTGTCCATCGAGCATGAGTATTTTGTTATATTTGAAGCCTTGTATATCAAGCTTATGTGATGAGAATATCAGAGCATGAGAATATCTGTTATATGGTTTATAAGCATGATCCTACCTACAAGCATGAGTTGTTTGTTAAGTTAATTGAAGTGTTTATATGTTGAGGTATCTAAGTGTTCAGTCTTATATATATAAGCATGTCAGTTGGTATCATAGGTTGCAAGCATCTAGAAAGTATGTGATAGATCTAAAGATGATTTGAGATGAATTTATTGTTTACAAAAGAAATCAAATATTTTCAAAGTATGCTAGAAAGCTTTACAGGGTTGAGTGTGGTTATACTTAGCTTCGTGCTAACGGGTGTTTTCCTATTTGTCTATGTGTTGCTTGCAAAACCCCTTTCAGGTGGGCCCAGCAGTGAGAAGAGTTTGAGTTAGATTAGTCTCGTAGTTTGAGATGTCTAAACGCTAGTTATTTATGACTTTGTTATGGATTTTAAACTCATTATTGATGTTATGATTTTGAGGATGTAGACTTTTGGGGTGACGTTTCCCCCCCTTATGTTTTTAGTATTTTATATGGATGCCAGATATTTATTTTATTCCTAGATTCACCCCTTAGCCTGTGCAATCACCACGGAGTGGTGGTTGTGGTGGTGACACTCCCACTAGTTATCTTTTTAGTATTATTTCCGCTGCTTAGTTTATGTTAATGTTTGGATTAGAGTTCTGATTATGATATAGAAAAGTGGGGTGTTACACAATCATATAACATCATCAACACACAATAAATTCATCAACAAGCATTCTCAAACATTTCTAAGCCTTTAATCTCAAGAAATCTAACATTATCAGGCTAAAATAATAGATTTGGGAATCCATGATTTATACCTTTGAGCTCTAGCCTTACGTACAGACATTAACTTCTCTTCTAGGACCTCAAGCTTAGTCTCCTTCTTCACCATCTAGGGCTCCAAGGCAACCAAAACAACCATAACATGCACAGACACATTCACTGTGATTAGAAGCTAGGAAAAGGGGAATGGAGGAGAAGAGGAAAAGAGAAAATGGAGAAGAAACTTACTCCCAAAGCTTGAGTTTCCTAAGCTAGCTAGATATTCTCAGTTGAAGGAATTAAGAAGATGATTATAGAGGAGAAGATATACGAGAGAGACATAGGATGTTGGCAGTTGAAATGAAGAGAAATGAATAGTAATGCTTTTATATGGTTCGAAACCCTAGGTTGAGGTATTGGCTGATAAGGTTATTTTGGTACATTGGCTTGTAAAATCATCAAGCTTATCCTTTTCTAAAACAAGCTAAGGCATTATAGTAATTTACACATCTTTGGGGTTAAAAATAGATTTTCTATAAGGGTGTTTCTAAATAAAACATTTGGTTCAGGTTTGACAGGTTCCTCTCCGGCATTATAGTAATTTACACATCTAAGGCATTATAGTAATTTACACATCTTTGGGGTTAAAAATAGATTTTCTATAAGGGTGTTTCTAAATAAAACATTTGGTTCAGGTTTGACAGATTCCTCTCCGGTTTCACTCAGATTGACTTTTTGGGTCAAAACTTGGTACATAGATATACCCAAAACTTAGGATTTTCAAAATAGGCTACTTCTTGGTGTTGAATTGATAAAATCACGATTTAAAATATTTAATTCATACACCATTTTTAGAAAATTTTTTCGAAGGAGTAAAAGTAATTATTTCAGAATTTATACAATAGAATTTAGAAAAATAATTTTTGGGTTGTCACATCCAACGACCTCTCCGTCTCTTTCGAATTTCGCTTTTGCTACCCTATTTTGTTTGAATATAAGACCAACAATAAATTGCCATCCAATTTCACTTAACCTACAAAATTGCCACCGCCACTTGAAGTTGACAGAATCCGTTTACTTTGGCAATTTTAGTTTGGTAAAACTAAAAACAATAGGGCTTCTTTTCAAAAAAAAAAAAAAAAACAAAAAAAAAACAATGAGGCTAGATTAGGATTTTAATGTGGCATGGTACAATTGGAAGAGCACAAAGTACAATCTTTTATAGCATATTGTTCCACCGACATTTTTTTTAGTTCCCGTTAGGAGTCTAACATTATTGACTCTTATTAAAATTGTAAATATATAGTAGAATAAGGATAAAGATAAAAAAAATAATATTAAGAAACTACTAGCTTATTTTTTAAACATTACCGAACAAAACTTATAACTTAGTAGTTTAAAATAAGTTATAAGCTTATAAATAAACTCTACCAAATAGAGGCTCAACAGTTTGGAGAAGCTCTTGCCAATATTAAATTGAACAAGTAATAAATATAATATCTAATAATTTTTTTTGGGTACACGTACTCAAATTTGATCCTGTAATAACCATCCATTAATGTGTCACCATACATGAATACAGCAATCAAACAAGAAAAATTTCTTGCCTGATAGATAGGAGAGCCATTCACTTTCCATTGAAGCAAATATATATGATGATGATCCCTGGCTATTTCAATCTTCTCTTCATTCAATTGTTTCATCTTCATCACAATATCTCATATCACATCATCTATCCATCTGTAAGGGCAAGACAATGTGGTGAGGGCGGATTATCGATCAGGCTGCGGTGGTGCAGCCACGGATCGGAAGATTAATTCCGGCGCGGCTATCCAGGGTGGTTCCATTGCCCTGGTAGTTGTGCAAGGGTAAGGCATAACCTGTATCGTTGCACATATTGCCTGTTGCAGCCGGAAAAAATGGCAGCTCCGCCACCGCCTAGCACTGGACCGGAAGTGGATTTAGATAGATTGGGGCAAGTGGTTATGTGTTTTTCCCAGACGATATACCGTTCTAATGGCGTTTGGGAAGGGCCGGATCCACTGGCGCCCATGATCCCTCTCTTCATCTTGCAAATCATGACAGCCATCCTCAGTTCTCGGATCCTCAATTTCGTCCTCAAGCCCTTCAATCAACCTCCTCTGGTGGCTGAAATTCTTGTAAGTAATTCTCCTAATTCAATTCTGACATTTGAGTATATATATGTAGCTGAGAAAATTAAATGTATAGGTTGTTTTTGTTGTGGTAAATTGTAGAGTGGTATAATTTTGGGGCCGAGTATGCTTGGAAACATTGAAGAATTCAGAAAACATAATTTCCCCAACCACAATTTTGAAACAATAGAGACGATGGGGCATTTCGCCCTGGTTCTCTACGCCTTCCTCACCGGCCTCCAAATGGACGTAAAAGCAATTGTGCATACCGGAACCAAATCCAGGATCGTCGCTGTTTCCGGATCGATCTTCCCTTTCCTCATCGGAGCCGGATTCTACTTCACCTTGCAAACAGATACTCAATCTATGATCGGCTTCATATTCTGCGGCAGCGCCCTCACCGTCACGGGCTTCTCCACTCTAGCCAAAATTCTGGATTCCAAGAGGCTTCTCAACACCGAGATCGGCAAAATAGCGGCGTCTTCAGCCCTCATCAACGTCGCATTATCCTGGGTTTTACTAACCATAGGACTCCTCTTCACAGGGAGCTTAGATAACGTCCAGTGGGCGGTGCTTTGCACGGTGGGCTTTGTGGTTGTATGCGTCAATTATGTCCGCCCATTACTCAATTGGCTAATCTCCAAAACGCCGGAGGGACAAGGATTCAGCGAGTTCTACATATGCTCCTTCATTGCCGTCATATGCGCCTTCGGTTGCTTCACGGATGCAATGGGTTCACATCCAATGATCGGAGCTTTCATTTTCGGGCTTATTATGCCTAATAACGAGCTTCTTAGAACAGCAATCTTGGACAGGCTGGAGGATTTCGTGATGGGGATCTTGATGCCGGTGTTCTTCCTTGTGTGTGGGCTTAGAACCAACATTTTTACCATTACAGATGGTGATACCAGCATTTTCACAGCCTTAGCGCTCATCCTGCTCGCCTGTTCAGCCAAGATCATCGCCGCTCTCGTTGCGTCTTGTTACACCGGCATGTCCACCAACGAGGCAATTGGGCTGGGTGTTCTTACCAACACCAAAAGCACCATGGTTATGATCATTCTTGAAGTTGGTCAAGTGCAACAGGTAATTAATTATTAATTACGACTTTACTTGTTTGTTTAAGGTCCTATATATGAAAATGCTAACATGTATGTATATATGAATAGGTTTTGAGTGTTCAACAATACAGCATGATGGTAGTTGCATGCTTGATCATGACAATAGTGGCCACTCCCCTTGCCGCTAGGTATTGTCCCAAACAAGATTTGGAGCCTTATAAACGAAGGACCATACAAAATGCTAAACCCGGAGAAGAGCTTAGAATCCTAGCATGCATCCATGGCACCAACAATCTTCCTGCCATTATAAGCCTCCTGGAAACCTCCAACTCCACCGTAACATCCCCCATCACTGCGTTTGGCGTCCAGCTTTTGGAGTTGGTGGGCCGCGCTCCTGCCATGATGGTGGTCCACAGCTCCGGCTCCGGCAGACACGTCGGAGGCTCACACGAAGAGGTGCAGACCAGCCAAATCATCAGCACGTTCGACAACTACGAGCTTCGTTCCCATGGGGTTACCGCTCAAGTCTTGACAGCCAGGTGGTCTTATGACACCATGGCGGAAGACATATGTAAAATGGCTAAAGAAAAGCGGGCGGCGTTTCTCGTCCTTCCTTTCCATAAGCAACAAGGCACCGACGGAGAAATGGAGGATACGAACCCGGCGATTCAGACCGTTAATGAGGGCGTTCTCTTGAGCGCCCCTTGCTCTGTCGGAATCCTCGTTGAACGTGGACGGCCTAATCAATATGCCAAGAACATCGCCGTGCTGTACCTGGGAGGCCCCGACGACAGGGAGGCGTTGACCTATGCGAGGAGGATGTCAGGTCTCCCCGGCGTCCATCTTACCGTCATCAGGTTTGTTCCGGCGAAAGATGTTTCCGCAGACGGCGCCGTCGAGGATCCCGACCTGGAACTAGAACTCACCCGGGAAACCAGTTTCGTGACGGTAAGCATCGACCCCGCGAGAGACAAGGAGGAGGACGAAGAGCTCCTCAACAACTTCAGAACAGAAACCGCGGAGGACGATTCAAAGACGTTCATGGAATTGGTGTTGGACGACGAGGAAGAGTTCACGAAAGCCGTGAAGTCTCTGGACGACCGGAGCTTCGATCTGTACGTGGCGGGTCGGGGGCGAGGAGTGTCGTCGGCGTTGACGTCCGGGCTGGCGGATTGGTGTGAGTGCCCGGAGTTGGGGGCGGTGGGAGATCTGCTGGTAACGTCGGAATTCGAGTCGTCGTTCTCGGTGCTGGTGGTGCAACAGTATGTGAGGACGAACAAGGGCGGCGCCGGTGGCGGGTCCTCCTCCGCCTCCTCCACTGGGGCCGGGGGATCGGCGGCAGAATCAATGAGCCAGAGAATGGATGCGGATATGCAGATGGATATGGGGTTCCGGATGTCGTATAGTGATGAACCCGACGCCGCATATGATTCTCCCACTTCCAGCATTAGCAGGAAGCAGCAACAGCAGGATCATTATATTATGGTGTGATCTTCCCAGGGAATATTATAAATCATCCAATTTAAATTAAAACTTTCTTCAATTTTCAAAACATATAATCTAATTCAGTTCCTATATATATATTGCGCCCGCCTCAAATCTCATGTATTACAAGCTAATTAAGGTTGAATAAATAATTAAATTATAGTATATATTCTAAATTTGAACAAATTTAAAATTATAACCAAATTAAAAAAAATATATCGTGAACAAGAAAAAATGTTCATATATAGGCACAAATTTGATAGCATTCCAACACTATTTGACACTACTTGTATAGTACTCAAGCGACACCCCTTTATGTTATACACACATAAACACAATGAGATAATAAGCAGATTTCATTATTACGTGAACTTAACTATCTGAACTTGTTCTATTAGAGTTCGAAAGTCATGTATACATATTAATTTATCCTTGTCATGCACACATGAGTATATGACTATACCACTCAATATTATTGTCACCTATCAATGGCCTTCTTTGTATGTTAAAAGTGAAGAAAAACAATCGAATTCTAAATAATTTCATATTTTCACATTTAAAAAATAATATGCAAAATATCATTCAATTAATCTAAATATTTAATTTCAAATTCTAACTCGAAAACATAATGTAACAGTTATGATATTTCTATATGTAATTTTTATATTAATAAATTGTTTTTTTATTTTAAATAAGTACTTTAATCAAGTCAAGATTATATTGGAATTGTTCATGCATAGATAATTGAATGTTTAATTTGCATATTTAAATAGATAATTTTAAGTTTTACAAATGCAAGATAATATAGTTAAAATTGATTATAATTGTCAATAAAATAATTGTATAGGTATGGTTGAAACGAAATACTATACGGGACATAAGGGAGAGCAAATAAAAATTAGGACATGTTAGGAATATATTGTAAATTTTGATGAGCCGAATGTATTTTTGAAAAATCAAGTAGTCCCCATTTTTATTCTATTTGAGTCAGTTTAAGTCTACGGAGTATGGTGCACCCATACATGCAACCCATGTACAAGTCTGGAAGATCATAATTTATTTGAAGAAGTTAAGCGGGATTATAGCTTAACACAATTATGATGCGAATAAGTCACCAAGAACCATGCTAGAGGAGTTGGAAGAAAAGTGTGTGAGCTATGCCAAGTGATCCTAAGTTTGAATCTCAAGTGAAGCATTTTTACCTTAAGTTTGAATCTTAAGTGAAGCATTTTTACCTTGCTTGGGAGACTAGCTCCACCGTATGGGAGACTAACCTCCACCGTATAGGAGACTAGCCCAAACCGTATGGGAGACTAGCTAACACTGTATGGGAGACTAACCCAAACAGTATGGGAGACTAGCTCAAGTGTATTGGAGACTAGCTAGCAAGGAGACTAAACCGTATGGGAGACTAACTCAAACAGTATGGGAGACTAGCTCAAGTGTATTGGAGACTAGCTTTAAATGGGAGACTAGGAGACTAGCTAAGCTGGGAGACTAGCTTGAGAGACTAGCTGGGAGACTAACCAAGAAGGAGACTAGCTAGCTTGGGAGACTAAGTAAATTGGAGACTAACCAAAGTGAATGCACAAGTCTCACAAGAACCATGCACCAGATGGAGAAACACACCAAGTATGTTGGACCAAGCCTAAAATCGAAACAGAGCATCTCACCATGAACAAACTGTGAAGTTTTTACAGAGGTTCCAGTATATTATTTTACAAGGATCATGAAGGAGAAAATATCTGATATATTTTCATCTGAACATCAAGTTTTTACGGTGGAACCGGAGACGCTCGAAGAAGGCTGATTCGCGGAGAAATTATTTTATACTCAAGCAAGAATCAGCAGATAAATTATTTGATCAACTTGACATGTCAGAGCATTTATGAAGGACAAGAAATATCAAGCTTGCCGCGCCGAACTTATTCAAATTTTGGAGGCTACAAAATTCAAGACACGGCAACGGGCAAATTATTCAAATCATCTGACAAAAAGAGAAATGACATCTACCTAATATTTCAGATCAAGTTGACAATATTATTTGATCAACTACAATTCAAAATGGACGATCGAGATCAAAAGTTGATCAACGGGCAAATAGCTTTCATTAGCTATAAATTGTCCAAGCAGACTTGAAGACAAGAAGAAGTCGAGCGACTAGAACCCCGATTTGAGCAGTTCAACGACTTGAACAACGGCTAAGACATATAAGCAAAAGATACAAGCTATTTTTCAATTAGCCGAAAAAGGGGGAAACAGAGCTTCATAGAATTACATTCAAGTCTGAGTGAGAGAAAATTTTTATCTCTTTGTAGATTTCTCTACTGAGTGTAGAAAGAGGGCGGAGTAACTAGAGAGAGTGAAAAACCCTGGTTGAGTGTAGCTTTGTGCGTAGCACTCGGTGTAAAGGGCAGAGTAACAAGAGGAGCTTGTGAAAACCCTGTGAGGACGTAGCTTTGTGCGTAGTTCTCGTGGTGTAGGAGTACAGCATGGTGCGAAGTACGCGGGAAGGCGGAGTAACAAGAGGAGCTTGCGAAAAACCTTGGAGGAGTGTAGCTTTGTGCGAAGCACTCGGAGAAGTGTCGGTGGACACTTATTCACTATTGTATTTGAGTTATCGAAGAATAGTGAATTTCCTCCTTGAAGTGAAAGGAGAAGAGTGGACTAGGAGGATTACACCACCTCTGAACCACTATAAATCTATCTCTCTATTTACATACTGCTCATATATTTTGTGCATGCTTATTCTAACTGCGAACTAACCCGATTACGATTTATCGCTTATCTTTATCTGTCTGGGTTTGATAGTTCCCACGTTTGCATGCAAGCCAAACTTTACGTACATCATCTTTGAACCATATTAAGTATTTCTAACGTGTTGCATGTTTAGAATCTCTCTTTGAGCACCGCACTAATTAAGCATAACACTTTACCGCTACCTATTCCGCTGCACACTCTAAGTTGTTTATCTTGTTGATGCTTGTTACTTAGAGTTGAAATTACCAAAGTGTTATTTGCCTTGTGTGTTTTCGAAGAAAGTTTAAAAAGTTAGAGAAGTCTATTCACCCCCCCCCCCCCCCCTCTCTAGACTTCTCGCCACCCTTTCGGGATCAACAGGACATAAAATATTAAATATATACTAATATTGAAGAGCTAACTACTAATTGCCAAATAATGACATTGCGAGGTAGTTTCTCACTTCAATTTGTTGTTTGATTTGAATACTCTTTTTGTCAATAAATCCCCCAAGTAGTTAATATGATTGGCTTAATTATATTTCTTAAAACAATTATTATTATTATTATTATTATTATTATTATTATTATTATTATTATTATTATTATTATTATTATTATTATTATTATTATTATTATTAAATATATGTATAACCTTAGCCTTAGGTCATTTTACATGTTAATCTAAACAACTAATTTTTTCAAATATCTTTTTACAATCGTTGATATAATTCGTTGGTCAAATCCCTTAACGCTAACCGCTAACTGCTGATTGTCAAACAAGGATATTGTGAGGTAGTTTTCACTCCAATTTGTTGTGTGATTTGAATAATCTATTTGTCAACAAATCCCTCAAGTAGTTAATATGATTAGCTTTATTAATTTTATTTTTTTATTTTTTTTCATGGTATTAATAAAATACCTGGTAAATAAATATATAGCATCATTTGTTATATAACTTTGATATTTAATTAAAAAAAATAGTGCACAAAAAAAGATAATAGACAATGTAGTGAATATAATCAATTGATGAATTTGAATGTAAAGAATTTTTAAATTGGAGAAATATAAAGACAATATAACTAATAAAATTATTTTTCTTAGTTAATTTATTGATAATGAATAATTTTTTTAATAAAGACATTGTAGGAACAATAATGTATCGAATATAATCAATTGATGAATTTGAATGTAAAGGATTTTTATATTGGAGAAAAATAAAGACAATATAGCTAATGAAATTATTTTTAATATTTAATTTATTGATAATGAATTACTTTTTTGAATAAAGACATTGTAGACACGTAATTTTAAATTAAAGACATGCATATGTATAATTTTTTGTTGCAACTACTAAATTATAATTTAATTTAATAAGAGTAAAATAGAATACGAATTATGCCAACTTTGATTGGGATGAGGTTCGAATCAAAGACCTTTTTATTGAAATCAATGAGTAAGTTAATGGTGAACTAACAGAAATTAACGGAAAAGATAATATTTAACTGAAAAGTTAACGGTAATCATATTCATTAAGGATAAATTAGGAAATCTTAAAAAATTAAAATCTGATCAATCTGAGCCATTCATTTGATTAAAAAATTTTACCGTCATTTTTTCTACCCATTATAGGCCTAACTCTATATATATATATATATATATATATATATATATATATATATATATATATATATATATATAGATTAGTATAGTAGATGTAGTGATATTTTTACCTAATTTTCGTTTCATTTTTAATTACCTTTACTATTTTTTAAAATATACATTTACTATTGATGATTTAGAATATTATTATTGAAATATTTCCTTTCCATTTTTAATTTTTATTTACTTGATAATGGAGAATATTATTATTGAAATATTTCAGTTTCATTTTTAAGTTCCGTTCCATTGTTTGAAATTGTGAAAGATTTATGATATAATTGTGATTTGATTTATTCTACTGTGTAATATTATTGTGAAAAATAAAAATGCAATAATTTGACCATTTTCTTTTCCATTTTAGTCAATTATGGATTTTTTTTTATTTTCAGTCAATTATTAATATTCACCCAATTAACCTAATTTCCATTTTTAATTTTCAGTCAATTATTAATATTCCTAATTCTCATTCCATTTTAATTGATGATGTAGAATATTATTGTGACATATTTTTATTCCTTTTTTTTTTAATTTATGTTCCTTTTTAAATTTACCTTTACTATATACTATTGTTTGGGCGGAAAATCAAGTAAATAGGATTTTGTTTTTAATTATTGTGTAGATATAGATATAGATATAGATTATTTATTTATTTATTTATTTATTTATTATTATTATTATTATTATTATTATTA